TTCCAAAAGCAATTCTCCATGATTCCAGTCTCTTCCTTGTAGCCTCAGATTCTGCCCCCAAATTCAGTCCTTCCTTCCTTTCTTTATGATTTAATTGTTCACATCGTAGTTAATTGTTCAGACTTTTGCCACTTTTCAATCTGCATGTATTTCACAACAAAAGAACTGCATCCTCTCCCTCCCCAATTTTTTGTACTAGGTTTCTTCTCCCAATGTTGATCAAGATGCAGAACAGACTAATTCTCCTTGTTAATACTGCCACCATGTGGTCAATCAGGCAAAAATGTATTTTAACTTGGTCAGTTGCTTTGCTGCTGTGACTTCCCAACTTACTGCCCCAGAAAAGCAATTCTTTCGTTTCTTTCCTTACTGCAATTGGGCCATCTTGGACATAAATACACTGTTAACTGTATAAGTACATATATTAATATAACTATGCATTGTGAAGTTATATACCGTATAAAAATCTCAAAATGCACCTCAATGCAAGCATTTGCAACAGGTTTAAAATTAAAAATCCCATTTTTGTCTGCTCTTTTGCAGTGCAAAAGTGCTTCTAAACTTTAGCTTTACTATCATGACTAAAACAGCTGAGAAATTTGTCTTGGATGATAGAGTTTGCTGGATCAAAAGTCAACAGAAATGAGAATGGTGGCAATTTTCTTAAAAAATATTTATCTATCTTATATTTATATAGTGTGGAAAGCCACACCCTTCTAGAAGAATGAAATATTTTGAGGAATATTTAAAAAAGTCAGAATATTATATTTCCCAAAGGGGGAAATGGAGAAATATTTTTCAAGAGGCAGAGAGCAACCCCCACTTTCCTTAAGAGCCCAGCAGATACTGAGCCCAGCTTTTAGAAATGAAGATTTGGTAATCCATTCAAGACAGGATATTTTGAAACAAAGGCAGCATAGTAGGATTAGCCCTCATTCAAGATCCAAAACAGGACAAAGCCATAATAGGAATTGCGCAACATCCTTTCAGAACACAAGCCTCTTCATTACATCATCCAAACTTCAATCAAACCTCTGAGCTCAGACAAATACCTAGGATTTGTACTTTGTACTTTTCCTATAGAGGCAACTATAACCCCTACATGGCCCCATGGGAGTCTGACAACAGCCAATGGAACATATATTCTTGCATAGAAACAGGAAGTTCAAGTGCAAAGAAGGTATAAAAAACCCTCACTCTCAACTCCATTTTGTCAGCTGCACCAGACCCACAAACATGTGGTCCTTTTCATCAATAAATGGACCCTCTTTCCAATCAGCCTCCAGCCTCCATTTTGTTTCCAGTGCCTTTCTCCCAGCTCGGAACTGAACCAGATGGATATTTCTTCCAGCAATAACTTATGCACCAAGACAAATTCCTTGTGTGTCCAAACACATTTGGCCAATAAAGAATTCTATTCTATTCTATTCTATTCTTTTACAGTAGCTAATTAAGTTCCCTTAGCTAGCTGAGGGCTTTCAATAGCAATGAGAAGGAAGGAGCAGGAGGAGATTCAGGGTTCTACTCATTATTCCTTTACTCCCCCAATTGAGAAGACATTCCTTCCTCTGTGAAGTAGCCCATTAACTGTTGAGGTTAGCCTCTAAGGACATAAAATACTCCAGCCAAAATGGTCAAGATTATTACAGCAGGAGGAAGACCACTTACAAACTGTACTAGCAAAATGTGCCTGGAAGTCAAGTTTACAACCATCTCTTTGAAATGAGCTGCTTATACCAAGTGTATTCGTCATCCTTGAAAACTGATAATATCCAGTAAATATCTCAGTATGTTGGTATCTGTCCCCACATGTTGCAGAAAGTTCAATTTTTCACAACTAATGCAGACCACTCTGCATTATTCAAACCAGCTATTTCATATCCCTTCTGTTTTAGTCGGTATTTTTCTCTGACCAATTTTCATCTTTCTGGAAATCTTCACCACATGGTTCCCCAAATCCTGACCTGTTTAAGCTTTTAATCACTTTTGTACCACTATCCAACAGTCAGTCATGAGCCTTGATCATGAGATGAATGATAAATTCTAGAATTCTAGACCTAGAAAACCTAGAACTACCCCGCCTTCGGTCCGATCTAAGTATAGTATATAAAATCATACATTGCAATGTCCGACCTGTCAATGAATACTTCAGCTTCAACCATAACAACACAAGAGCAAACAATAGATACAAACTCAAGGTTAATCGCACCAAACTTGATTGCAGGAAATACGACTTCAGCAACAGAGTGATCAATGTCTGGAATGCTCTACCTGACTCTGTGGTTTCTTCCCCCAACCCCAAAAACTTTAACCTTAGACTGTCTACTATTGACCTCACCCCTTTCCTAAGAGGCCTGTAGGGGGCGTGCATAAGCGCAACAACGTGCCAACTGTCCATGTCCTATTGTTTCTTTTATTTTTCTTATATGTATCCATGTATTCATAACTATGTTTTTACTTATACCTATTATCTTGTAAGCAATTGACAAAAATAAATAAATAAAATAAATAAAACCTTCTGTTTCTGATCAATGTACTCAAATCTCATTTAAATAGTTTTTCACTCAGTCCACATTCCTTCTTTCAAACACCCATTCAACCCCCTGCAAAATTCCAAATATCTCGCAAATTAGTTTCTTTTCTTTTCAAGAAAATTGAAGGTTTCAGTCAAAAAATTGCTTTGGTCAGTCAGCTTCAGGCTTGAAACCCTGACAGTTTGCTCCCTTTCCCCGGATGCAAGGGTTGTAAAATATTGGGTGCAATGGATGAAAAAATAGATGAGATGGCAACCAAGCAGATAATTAAATATTGGAATTAATCTCCCTGCTGCTGCCCTTCACCCTTTACCTGTGGACGGTAGAAGATACTTGGTCAATTTGGAGAAGGAAGAAAAATAATTAACATAATAATCTGACATAATCTTTGACAAATTGCAAGACAAAAAGGACAAGTACAAAAATGGAAAGAGGGACACACAACTAAGGCAGAATATCAACAGATAATCAGAATCTGCAAAGACAAAGTCAGGAAAGCTAAGGCTCAGAATGAACAAAGGCTTGCAATAAAAGTCAAAGATAACAAAAAAGTTTTCTTCCACCATATAAATAAGTAAAAAAATAAAGGAAACAGACGGTTCACTAAAGAGAGAAGATGGCAAGGAAGTTACAAGTAACAGAGAGAAAGCAGACCTGCTTAACTCATTCTTTGCATTAGTCTTCACGCAAAAAGAAACTATACCTCAACCCACCAAAAAGGTAACTGTAAAAGACAGACTAGAAATAAAAGTTAAAATAAGAAAACACCTGCCTGATCTTGATGAAAAAGTTAAAGTAAGAGAACACCTGTCTGATCTTGATGAATACAAATCACCGGGACCTGATCGATTACACCCCAGAGTTCTAAATCAGCTGGCAAATGACAGCTCAGAACCACTGCACCACATCTTTCAAAAATCCTGGAGCACCAGGGAACTGCCACAGGAAAAGAGGAAAAGAGCTGATGTGGTTCCCATCTTCAAAAAAAAAAAAGGGGGGGGGGAAACAGACACAGGAATCTACAGACCAATCAGCCTATCATCAATACCCAGGAAGATACTGGAAAAGATAATAAATAAACAGATCAGCCAACATCTAGAAACAAGTAATGTAATAACTAGCAGTCAGCACAGGTTTGTTAAAAACAGGTCATGCCAAACCAATCTTATTTCATTCTTCAACATAGTGACTAAATTAGTAGACCAGCGAAATACTGTGAACATAATATACTTAGACTTCAGCAAGGCATTTGACAAAGTAGACCACAACCTACTTCTTGGTAAGCTAGAAAATAGTGGAATAGATAGCATCATTAGATTAGATCAGGGGTCTTCAAACTTGACAGCTTTAAGACTTGTGGACTTCAACTCCCAGAATTTCTCCTCCCGTCATGTTAGCGCAAGAATTCTGGGAGTTGAAGTCCACAAGTCTTAAACTTGCCAAGTTTGAAGACCCTTGGATTAAATTAACAGAGTTGGAAGAGACCCTACACCATTTCTGACAAGTGGCAGTCTGGCAGTCCAATCTCTTTTTGAAAGTCTCAAATGAGGAAGCTCCCACAATACATCAGATGGATTCATAACTGGCTGACAAACTGTACTCAACAAGTAGTCTTTAATGGGTCTATGTCTACATGGAGGGAAGTAAGCAGTGGGGTACCACAAGGTTCTATCTTAGGCCCAGTACTCTTCAATATCTTCATAAATGACTTAAATGGGAGAATAGAAGTGGAACTTACCAAATTTGCAGAGATACTAAGCTGGCAGGAAGATAGACTCAAGATCCAGATGGATCTTGATAGACTTGAACATTGGGCCCCAGTGATGGGATTCAAATAATTTAACAACCGGTTCTCTGCCCTAATGATTTCTTCCAACAACCAGTTCACCAAACTTCTCAGAAAGTTAACAACCGGTTCTCCCAAACTGGTGCGAACTGGCTGAATCCCACCACTGCTGGGCCCTATCTAACAAAATGAAATTCAATGTAGAGAAAAGTAAAGTCTTACACTTAGGCAAGAAAAACCAAAAGTACACATAATAGACTGGGTGAAACCAGACTTAATAGCAGTAACTGAGAGGGAATCTTAGTGGACAATTAGCTAAATATGAGCCAGCAGTGTGCGGTGGCAGCCTAAAAGCCAATGCAATCCTAAGCTGCATTAACAGAGGGATACCATCAAGATCAAATAAGGTACTAATACCACTCTATAAAGCCTTAGCAAAACCACACCTAGAATACTGCATCCAGTTTTGGTCACCACACTATAAAAAAGATATTGAGACTACAAAAAGTGCAGAGAAGAGCAACCAGGATGATTAGGGGACTGGAGACTAGAACATATGGAGAACAGTTTCAGGAACTGGTTATGGTCAGTCTAGTGAAGAGAGAAGGATCAGGGGAGCATGGTAGCAGTGTTCCAATATTTGAGGGGCTGCCATAGAGAGGAGGGGGTCAAGCTATTTTCCAAAGCACCTGAAGGCCAGAAATGGAATAATGAATGGAAATGGGTCAAGGAGAGATTCAACCTGGAAATAAGGAGAAATTTTCTGACAGTGAGAACAATCAACCAAGGGAACAGCTTGCCTTTGGAAGTTGTGAGAGCTTTATCACTGGAGGCTTTCAATAAGTTATTGGACTGCCATTTGTCAGAAATGGTGTAGGGTCTCCTGCTTGGGTGGGGGGTTGGAATAGATGACCTACAAGGTCCCTTCCAACTCTGTTAATTCATTTTTTGGCCAGAAATCTTTTTTTATTCAGTCACATTCCTTCCCTCAAATACCCATTCAACCACTTGCAATAATTTCTTTGCAAATTATTTAATTTTCTTTCAGGAAACTTGAAGATTTTTTTTAAAGGCAGGATTTATTAAAGAATTTCTCGCTCAACAAACTACATAAGACAATGGAAGATAAAATATCTGTGTAGGACATAAAATACAAGCAACACCAATAAAAATTGTCAGTGTGATTAATTATCTGTGGAAATTTATGCTGTAGTTTTTAACAGATAATTCTTTACATTAAAGGATTAAATTACATTAATGTACATTAAAAGCCCAGTCCAGTTCAATGCAATTAAAAAGAAAACCAAGAAAACAATCAGCATGATTGCACAAAAAACTCTCAGACCAACTGAGAGGGTTAAAAAGGATAACTACAAAAAATAGAGGGATACAAACTAAGGCAGAATACCAAAAAGCAGCTTGAACCTGCAAAGGTGAAATTAGGAAAGCTAAGGCTTTGAACAAAGTAAGACTTGCAACAAATGTCAAAAACAATTTTAAAAAGTTTCCTTCAACACATAAAAAACAAGAAAAAAAATCAAAGAAACAATCGGTCCCCTAATGGTACAAGATGGCAAAGAAGTAATGGACAGTAGAGAGAAAACAGAACTGTTTAACTCATTTTTCACGCAAAAAGGAAACACTACTCAATGGATGGATAAATGACAGGTTAGGAATGCAAATTAAAATAAATTAAAATAAAATAAGCAAAAATAAGATAAGAGAACACCTGTCAGCTCTAGGTGGATTCAGGTCACTGGGTCCTGATGGACTATATCCCAGAGTTCTGAGGGAACTGGTAGATGTAATCTCAGAACTATTGAATTGTATCTTTCAATGTTCTTGGAGCACCGGGAAACTACTTTGGGAAAGAGCTGGTTTGGTTCCCATCTTCAAAAAAAGAGGAAAAAACAGATCCAGGAAATTACAGACCAATCAGCCTGACATCAATACCTGAGAAAATTTTGGAAAATTAGGAAAATAATCAAGCAACAAATCTGTGAACACCTAGATGCAACAAGCTTAAAAACAGAAACCAACACATGTTCATCAAAAATGGATCATGCCAAACAAATCTTATTTCATTCTTCAACAAAGTGACCAAATTAGTAGATCAGTGAAATGCTGTGGACATAATATACTTAGATTTCAGTAAATCATTTAATAAAGTAGATCACTACTTTTTGACAAGCTAGTAAAATGTGGGATAGATAGCATTAGTATCGTTTTACAAAGCTTTAGTAAGACAACTCTTGGAATAATGCATCTAGTCCTGCTCACCACACACACACACACACAAAAATAGAGTTCAAGACTCTGGAAAGAGTGCAGAGAAAAGCAAAAAAATGATTAGGTGGCTGGAGGCTAAAACATATAAAGAACGGTTACATGAATTGGGTATGTCTAGTCTAATAAAAAGGAATGACAGGCATGATATCATTGTTCCAATGTTTGAGGGGCTCCTATAAAAATGAGAGGTTCAAACTATTTTCCTAAACAACAAAAGGCAAGACAGGAAACAATGTATGGAAATTAACTATTAATGGTGAGAGCAAGCATCCAAAGAAATACTTGCCTTCAGAAGTTGTAGGTGTTTCATCACTGGAGGCTTTCAAAAAGAGACTGGAAAACCATTTGTCTGAAATGGCATGGCGTCTCCTGCTCAACCAGGGAATTGGACTAGAAGACCCCCAAGGTCCCTTTCAACACTATTATTCAATGTTCTAACATAAATTTCTTCATTAACAGATTATACTCACCTGGGATATATGCTCTCCTTCCTCCAATTGATTGGGAAGTTCACAGCACTCATTTCCAATGTGTGGATTCAGCACAGTTCTTTGATGCTCCATAGTAAAAACAGGAAAGAAAGGCCTAAGGAACTTGAACTCACTGCTCAGAGACCCATCAGCTAAGCACACTTCATAGCTGTAGGCCTGGGAAGATGTCCCAGAATTAGGATCTACACACTTGTCTTGGAAGTTTGGTCCGCCAGGGAAATTCGATGCAGAATCAGAACTTCCTATGAACTTCCTTCGCTTCTGAAATTTGGTTGCAATAAACACCATGACAGAAAGCAGAAAAATGGATGAGATGGCAACCAAGCAGATAATCAAATACATTGTTAGAGTATGATCTCCTTCCTGCAGGATTTCACCCTTAGGATTATCCATAATTTTCATGTAAGGATCGGAGAAGCCATCTACTAGAAGAATTCTTAGGGTCGCAGAGGCAGACTGAGGAGGATGCCCATTATCCCTAACTACCACAATAAGAGTGTGTTTGAGACTGTCTCGGGTGTTCATTGGCCTCATGGTTTTTACCTCTCCATTCTGAGTCCCAACAGCAAAGAGACTTGGATCTGTGGCCTTCAGCAACTGATAGGAAAGCCAAGAATTCTGCCCTGAATCTCTGTCCACTGCCACCACTTTGGTGACTAGGTAGCCTGTCTCTGCTCCCCGGGGAACCAGATCATTTGATGGAGAAGTGATGTTCTGAAGGGGGCAGAGGATGAAGGGGACATTGTCATTTTCATCCATGATAAGAACTCGGACCATTGTTTCTGAGCTGAGTGGAGGGGAGCCCTTGTCTACGGCCCTCACCATCACCTGGAAATCCTGTATATCCTCGTAATCCACAGATCGAATGGCATACAAGTTCCCAGTTTCAGAGTTGATGGAGATGTAAGATGATGCAGGCTCTTCCCTGATCTTTCCAAACAAAAGAGAGTAGGTTACTTTGGCATTCTCTTCTGTGTCCACATCTGCAGCATGGACTGATCCAATGAGCAGCCCTGGAATGTTGTTTTCTCGTAAGTGCAAATTGTAGAAACTTCTTTCAAACATTGGAGGGTTATCATTGACGTCTGAAAGGAGAATGCTAATAACTGTCACTGAAGTGAGTCTGGGAGAACCTTGGTCAGTGGCTGTGATGGTGATGTTATATTGTGGCGTTTCTTCTCTGTCCAATGGCTGTTGAGTCACAAG